CATGTGTAGGGTGTTTGTCTCTGTTACCTGTTCCACATTTTAGGTGAGTCCTAGAGGATTGCTGCCAGATTGTGTTTGATGGGTGAATGCGGCTCACATTCCCAAATTTGAAAGATTGCAAATTGTTCATGTTATTATTAATATCAGTTCTGGTTTTGTGATATCTTGTTTATCAGAAAAAGCAACTAAATATGTTGTGGAACATTGTTTATTAGCTTTTTCTATGTTGGAAACTCCTAGAATAATCTAGATTTATAACACTCCTACCTATACCAGCAAAAGTTTTCAAAATTTTTGTGAATATTTTACTATTTGTCAGGTGGCTGAGTTTCCTTGCAATCCTCAAAAACAAGGTATTATGGAATGTACTCTTTCTACTATCAAAAATAATTTATTTGCAGTGGAAACCCATCATGGACTATACAATTGAATTATTTAGCTTCCGACTGACGAGCTTCCAGATACGGAGCAGGTAGAATAAACGCCATCTTTCCAGCAGATGCCAACTTTCCCTCATGTTTTGAGAAAGGTCGTGCTGGCATCCGGCAACCACCTTGGAGAAAATGTCATCATAACAGCGCTATGGTCATTCTCTTATCTAACTGATAATATAATTTTTAAAGGACCAACGGTTGGAATGCTACCTTGCTTGGAGACTGGTCACCTCTTCATACATATGGTCCCGGACTTTCTATGAAAAGATTTGTGGGAGGAATGTGGACTGCTGATATGAAGAACTTTCAAACTAGATTGTGGAAATTAGTTGCTAGTATGGATTCGATAAATGTCCCCTGTGTCCCAAAAGATAAATGTAAGGGAGATAAAATCACAAATGCCAAAGTCCTGAACCATATGTCTTATTAATTGGTAATAATGCAATCACTGGTGATTATCCAAAATTTAATGTAAGTTGTTCTTGTGAAATTTCTAACTATATTAGCTCTGTTACCAAAGATGATTCAGTTGTTATTCTAAACAATCCTCCTCTTGTTATGACATTGGTAAAGTTAAATGATATTTGGTATGATAATAATGGCTTGCAAATTTTAAAAGAGTTATACAAGTTATCATTAAGAACCAAGAGAGCTGTAGGTCTTGTTATTGTAGAAATTGTTTCTCTTATTCCTATGTTTGCTGCTGTCTCTACTTCTGCTGTAGCTTCAACACAAGAAGTCCACACGGCTAAGTTTTTAATTGGGTTAGTGCATATTGTGACAAAAAATTTAAATCAAGAGAATGTATAATCAATCAATTATGGCCTAAAAGTTAAGGGGACGTGGTCAAAGACCAGTCACTCCTTTTTGGGCCCTTAATAGGCTTTCCTTTGCTTATTTCTTTTGGCCCCCGAGCAATTCAGAGGCTTACATGCTTTATCAAGCAGCAGGTCGAATCCATAGCCTCCCGTCCCATACAAGTCCATTATCAAAGACTGCAAATGGCTGATAAAGAAAATCCTTGATGATACAGGCTAATAAACCGGGCAGCCAGAGACGGGTAAGAGACACCAGCCCCTGTTTCAACCTAAGACAGGCGCCCCGCCGTAGCTGCTGAGTTAGCCCATGACGGGTAAGATCAGCAGGTGTGGTGTCCAACCTAAGACAGGCACCGGTTTCATACATGGTCAAACAGGAGAGCACCAAAGGTAATCCTGTTGCACTTTTGCAGTCTTCAAATAATTATTAAAACAGGGAGGATCTGTTCGGGGCTGCTAGTTCAACTTAGCTGAAGCCATTTTGTAATTCTCTGAAACCATTTGGTAATTCTCAAAGAACATGTTTGGACATGTTGCCCTAGGAGGATAGGTTTCAATTTACCCCACCCTGGGAGGATAGGTTTCGGGAAACGCCCTGCTAAGTTTCTGTTTATCAGATAACTTTTAGATTACTAGAAATGACATGATGTTATTCTCCCCCATTGCGTACTTCTCCTCCCCCCATTGTGCTCCTGTATATAAGCTGTGAGTGCTTTCAATAAAATCGAGACTTGATTGGAATTTCAACTTGTCTCGGCACTTCTGTGCCTCCTGTCCCCCCCATTCTCATTCTTCCCCTCCTAGGGTCACTGTTGAAGATCCCCACGGGCCGGGGCAGCTTGCCTCCAGAAACTCTATGAACAGTGCTCATGTCTTCCATTCATAGGGTCACTATGAGTCATCTACGAGTTGATGGCACCTAACAACAACATTGTCAAGTCAAAACTTATTCATAACTGACTCTCCAGTAAGTTTTCAGAGGCAATAAACTGCATAGCAGGAGACTGTCCCCCTTTCTTGAATGGGGCAGCTGGTGGATTTGAAACAAATATTTTTAAAATATTAACACATTGCTATCATATAACTTCTAACTCATAGAGATCCTACAGGACAGAGGACAAGTGCTCCAGACAGCTTCCAAAGCTGGAATCTTGATGGTAGTTTTCACATCTGTCCACAGTCCCTCAACAGGCTATTATTGTTGAGTTCCACTGAGTCAGAACTGATCCATAGCTGACCCAACAGCAGGTTTTCAGAGGCAGTTAATTACACAGGAGAAGACTGTCCATCCTTCTCCTGCCGAGCAGCTGGTGGATTCAAACTACGTGCCTTGGGGATTGCAGCACAACTTCTTCACCACTAGGCTACCAGAGCTCCCTCAATAGACTATGACAGGGATGAATTTAGAAGGGACATTTATACATATAAAACACTTAATATGACATTGTATAGAGCCAAAGTTGTAAGTTATTTTAAGAGGGAAAGGAAAGTTGCTAAGTTACTTCTGCAGCTCTTATAAAGTCATTCTTGATTCTTTTGTTAAATTTACAAACTGGCTGATAAAAGGAAGGAGGACTGATCACACAGTGTCAAGGGGTCTTTCATCCCTAACCCTCTAGATTTAGAAAGGCAAGTTAAGAGGCACTTTGGCTGCCTGCTCTTAAAACCATACCACACCTGCAGCAGCTCTATGTCTTCACGGTTTTCAGATCCAGGGGTGTTCTCCATTAATATGGCTGACATCACTCTCACATTCATTTTCACCATATCCAACTCACTGTGTAATTTTCCAATCTGTAGAGTGCAAAACAGGCACCAGCTCATAAGTGTGACACAAAAGAACAAACACTTTTGTTTCCTAATCCTAAAGGACATTTGTTGGAAGAGAAAATGCTACAGCAACGTTTACTATGTTAAAAATTTTATGTATACATATACATAATACTCTCACATATAAGTATGTATGTATAATTATCTATGAACAAATAGTCTGTTACTTACTAAAAGGATTTGCAGTCTCTTATAATAAACTCACAAGTATACTCAAGAAAAGTTTAAAATAAAGAAAAATAAGTCAGATTAGAATTAATATTGAGAAAGGAGATCTAGGCATCTAGAAATCAAGATGAGATAGGTATTTTTTTTTAGAACTTATAGATAGGTTGGTTTTTTGGTTTTTTTTTAAAAGCAAATAGTAAATTAGACTTAATGATAACTGATAAGGGAAAAAAAATGAAGGTTTTCACCATTGCTGAGGTATTAAATAAGAGAGAGTTAAGAGATAAATACTTTATTTTCTGGATTAAATTTTAAGACAGATTAAACGCCTGGATTTTTATATGATGGATACTACTATAAAGTCTTCAGAGGTATTTCTTTTCTCAGGAGCAACAATTTTGAAAGTTACTACTTAACTTGGGAGGGACTGGAGACAGTGTCATAAGGACAAACACTGCTTAAGATCCTTATTATAGCAATAGAACAATAATTAGTAAATGTGATGGGCAAGGGAGAAATCATAGGGTCATACAATTGGGCAGGTGGAGGGAAAGTGGGTAAAGGAAATGGGAAAGATAAGGTGGAGTTCTTGAAAGACAGGATAATGGTGGGCATAGTTCAATGATGATTAATTTTTCAGGTGGAGTTCTTGAAAGACAGGATAATGGTGGGCATAGTTCAATGATGATTAATTTTGTAAAACATAATGGATGGGAATGATTGTATTAAACAACGTGAATGGAGGATAGTGTGAAACACAAGATATATGAACTTTGTAAGCAAATCAATATAACATAAAACTTTTTTCAAAAGATATTCCTGTTTTGGGACAATTAAAACAGACTTTCAAGGAATATTCAACCTGAATCCTTCGATCATATGGAGATTTTTGAAAGTATTTCTTTGAGTTTATTATGTTTATTTTCCTTTATTTGTTTGTGTATAAAGGATGCTCTTCTAGATGATAACATAATTATTATAAATAAAAACAAAAGGGGGGAAATATGGGAAGCCAATACTAAATATTTGTAATAAACTGAATGCTATTTAAATTTTTAAAAAATACAAAAAAAAAAAAAAGATATTCCTTTTAACAGGACAAAAAGGAAAGTCATATAATTGCTTATGTCAACCCTGGCTAAAAAACTAGATAAAGAAGTAGAAAGTAATTCTGTTAGCACAATAGCACCAGTACTAAGACTGCCACTTAGCATTCTAGCATGGTGCATTCTAACATGGTGTGGACAGGCCTCCCAGAAGAAATAAAAATCACTGACTGATACAACATCCAGTCCACAACCAAGATCCACAAAGCTATGACAGACTGTAGTCAAGTACAGAGGCCAAGAGTGAGTTTAGGTTTGGGAATCAGATGGAATGCTTAGGGTTCTCTTTAGGGCAGAGCTGTGGAAAGCTGTTGCTGTTGTTGTTACTGATTGCCTTCCCATAGAGCACGACTCATAGGCTTGAAGCTCTTCTTAAAACTATCGACATTTATTAAAGTTCAGAGGGCTTCCAGAGGTATGCTGTTTATACAATATCAGTAAGCCTCAGTCTTCTCTTCCCACAAATGAGGCCAGTATATTTATACTTTATAATGTGGCTAAGAAAAAGAAAAGAACTCTATAGGAAGAGCTTAGAACTTAGGAACTAGGTCATCAAGTATTATTATTGTTTCCATTACCTGTTCTGGGACCAGTGTAATGGTTGAGCTCTTGGGAGCAACCACTGAAGAAAGAGCTGGTGCAGTAGGAACACATGTTGTTGGATGAGATGAGCTCTGAGCGGCCTGTCAACATGAAATATGGAGATATTACTATCTGAACGAACACAGCCACCCCACTTCTGTCCATTCAACTCATTCAATCATTTTCTCTCAACCAAAGCACTCAGGAAAGAGTATCAGCCCAGAGAAAATCACTCAGCATAAAACCTGCCCCACATTTTGAGAACAGAACTAAAGCAAATGGCATTCCCATAATACAATACATACTGAATGACCAGTGACCACTATCATGATTATTAACTGAATTACAAGTTAATAAAAAAATGGCTTTTAAACATTGGTCCACACAATAAACAGCAATGTGAAATTAGTGCTGCTTCCTCTTTGAACTGTTAAAAGCAAGTGCTAAATAAACGCACGTCAAGTCTTCTAAAGCCTCAGCGGCAACGTATTTCCTTCTCCACCCATGAATGCCTGAGCTACCACCTCATTCCCATTCAGGAGGAGAGCACAAAATCACTCATAAATCTTGTTAAAATGAGGATTCTGAGTAGCCTAGAGTGAAGTATACCTATATTTGTAGGAAGTTCCCAGATTAGCAGTCCTAGGTTACAGTTACATTGTGCCTTCCAAGAAAGAAGAAAAGGGATGTGGTGAGCGTGCTCACGGGGAAATGAAAAAGAAGATGGGCCAGGAGGTTAATGCTCATAGTGGTTTGTACAGGTGAAACAGTGCTCAATACAGAGTTTCTACAAAGTGGTCTAAATAGGTGTGTTCAGGGAACACACACCTGTGTTGTTTATTCCACCAAGACAAACTTGACCCTCTACAGAAGAGAGGATCTACCATCTCATATTATGAAAATTATATAAAAGAGCTGAATTGTATTCAGCTACTCAAAGTATTATAAGTTCAAATCACTAAAAATGATCTCTAAACTTGAGAATGGATATATGTTAACTTCCAGAAATCATCCCAGTAGCCCAGTTACCAATAACAAACATAACTTTTATAATACTATTAGATATAGTTGTTATTGTTATGTGTTGTTTAAGTTGGAAACAACATATAGCTGACCCTCCAGTGTGTTTTTCCAAGGCTGTAAATCACACAGGAGGACACTGCCAATCTTTCTCCAGCACAGCTGGTGCATTCAAACCACCTGCTTTGGGGTTGGCAGTACAACTCCTTACCAGCTCAGCCACCAGTTTAGCACCAACTCTTTCTTGTCAAAACTGTCCTCTCCACAAAATTATTCTCACAGGTGTGAAAACAATACCTTGTTTCACTTGATTTGTTCAGAAATGGGAAACTGAACCAGAATAAGTGTCTGTCTTGTGCCTCTTCCTCACAAAGTTTGAAAAGCTGAAAGGTCTAATGTGAAAATTTAAAAGCTATTTAGACTGCAAAGAAAAGTTAGTCTGGAATAAGAAAAAAAGACATTAATGGTCAAAGAGAAGTGGGTAAATCTTTGAATGCTTGGCTCTCCGTTACTTCAATGGTCCAGCTAATAAAAGCCTCTCTGTCAGTTATGCTAATATCCTAATATCGTTGTTGTGTGTCTTCAAGTCGGAACCAACTCATAGTTTTGGCAAACTCACAGACTTCGCCAAAATGCTCCTGACGCTATTTTAGAATCTACTCATTGTGACTCCAGTATAACCAAAACAATCAGTAGTGCGAATACCAGAATGTCATTAGAATACTGAAGCATGGAAGTCTGATGGTAAGAAATACTTCACATTATTTAATCTTTGAAAAAATACATTTTATCACCAATGTGTTTTCAGAGACAGTAAACTGCATGGGAGGAGACTGTCATCCTTCTGTGAAGCACCTGGTAGATTTGAACCACATGCCTTTGGGATATGCAGCTTCTTCCCAGTAGGCCACTAGAGCTCCCCTCTTACTATTGTTGCTGTTGTAGTCGCAGGAGACTCATAGTGATCCTATGAATTGTCTTTGTTTCTTTAAGTTCATAGGGTTTCCAGAGGCAAGCTAGTTTGGAAGTGGATGCCACTCCTGCTTCCAAGCTTGTTTTAATTGGAGAGGTCCGCCAAACACTGTGAGCACTGGGTGACCAATATCGCATTTAGCACATCAGGGGCACAGTGTTCAGCATCACAGCCACCACGAGTTACCTCTGTACAGTAAATCGACAGAGTAGTGCTATACTGCCAAGAAGAATGTTTGATCAAAAACAATTAAAAACAGGCCCGAGGGCCACAGGCCCTCAAGTCCTTCAGGATTTAAAATTCCGGCATGCCCACAAGCTGGTGGATTGTTTGCCAGAGATCCCCAGTTCATCTGGCAAGTCCCATCTGTTGACACCCACTCAGGATGAAAAGAAAGGCATAAGAGAGCCAAACATTCATTCCATACCTATTCCTCCTCGAGGTGCGAAATGCCTTCACAACTTACTCACAAGGCATCTTAATATTCTTCTAATAACTCCCTCCTTTTGCAGAAAGTAGGTAGATCGAGGTTTGCCCTTTCAAGGAGTAAAGACTCAAATACTATACCATCTTACTTCACGCAGTGATGAGAAGACTTACGTCTTGTCTTGGTTCAGCCTCTGCATTTGAGGAAGGAAACTGTACACCTTTCTTAAGCAGGTCAAGGTAGACTTCTTTCACTTCACTTACATCCACGCCTCCTGGGAAACCCTGTGACCAGGTCTGAAGTCAAGACATGGAAAATTCCAGAGTTAAAAACGGTGTAAAAAATAAAATCAAACTTGTAAACAGGTGACAGAAAATGGGATAATGTAAGCAGGTGACAGACAATGTGCATCAAAAAGACAAAAGCTACTTTTAAATGCCATGCATAACATGTATTTTTTTTTTTCAAAGATTAAATAACATGAGATATTTCTTATCATCAGCGTCCCATGCTTCAGTATTTTAGTGACATTCTGGGATTGGCACTATTGATTGTTTTGGTTGGACTGAAGTCACAATCAATAGATTCTAAAATAGCATCAGGAGCATTTTTGGCCAAATAATTGAGTTAGTTAAGCACTCCAGGTCAGAGTTAGTTTATCGGCAAAATAAAAAAACACATAACTATCATTCCTACATAACATGGATAAAATAGAAAGCAAGAGAAAAGTATGAAAATGATTCAAAATTTTTCAGAACAAAAGGTATTATCCAATGCCAAGAAATTACTGTTATACAGAAAATAAAACAGTAAGAATGATTTCTTGCTCAGTGCTAGACTTGTAAAGGATTACTAATAATGGTAGGATGTGCAAGGATTACATCAAGAGGTATATAATTAAGTCACTAATCTTTGAAGTTTATCATCCCATAAGGTAAACAGACTCACCTTAATGAAATTCAAGATTTTATTCTGAATATCTAATGGCAAGTTGTATCTGGGATTCAACAGCTTAACTAGACTATCTTTCACAAAATCCTTCTTCACAATCAGAGATTGGAAACTTGGGCCACAATTCTGCATGCACATGTCTATGAGCTAAATCAGAGAGAAAAATTAAATGTTATTATCTCCCTGGCAAAAACAGCCTCCTACATATAAGGCAAAGTAACGATTTCTATCAGCCTTCTAATTAACAAAAATCGTTTAGTATCGACTCAAATACAGAGCAAAATGCTAGGTTCTGAGGATATGGGGAAATATTAGGCATAATGTAACCTGCCTAAGGCTAAATTTAATGGAAAGCGAGGACACAATTGTAAGAGCAATACAGAGTAGTAAAAGCCAAATGGAACAACATTCCAGAATAAGAAGTGCAGAGCAAAGAGGCCTGGAGGAGGGGGGAGGGAGGAAATTATGCACCAATGAATGTAGGGAGGAAAATGTGCAACAATGAATGAATGAAAATCCAACCTTTCTTAAAATCACAATAATAATTTTTTAAAAAGCCAAATGGGAAGTATAATAAAGTCATGGGCTGTATATAGACAAGGTGACATTGACCCTAGTTTTTCCACTGTGGCCCCGATCTGTCTGCTGTCCTCGCTTTATTACTAATAGGACCCTCTTTCACACTCAAAAATGTCCTGCTTTGGATACTATGCATAGTCACCCTAACTATTGACCCTTACAGACAGGCACAATTAGTCTTACAAATCTTTTGGAAAAGATTAGGGTTGGAAAGAAGACAAAATAAAAATAAAGAGCAAATTATATTTTAGACAGATAAACACTAAGAATAAAATACCAAGGTGCTGAACACCCACGTTTATCTCTGCTTTGTTCACAATAGCAAGGAGTTGGAAACAACCTAAGTGCCCATCAACAAACGAATGGATAGAGAAGCTGTGGTATATTCGCACAATGAAATACTATGCTGCATTGAAAAACAAGGAACTCATGCAATATTATTCAAAATGGGTGACTGTGGAGGACATTATGCTGAGTGAAGTATCTCAGTAACAAAAGGACAAATACTGCATGGTGCTGCTGTTGAAAAACAGGACATCGGGGTTGGGGGGAGACTGAGAAAGATGGGATAAATAACGTATACTGCATTGAAACAGATGAGGGAAAAAACTGTTGAAAAGGGATATGTGATTAGGTATTTTTGTCATGACAGGAGTCCAGAGCAAAGGCTGCATAGTGGAGTGGACCTGGGGGAAGGGACTGTAAAACAATGAAAGAATTTTACTCTTCAAAGAGAAGAGTATATGGGGGGTGGGGGACAGGGCAGCAGGGAGAAAAGTGCAACAATGAATGAATGGAAATCCAAAGTATCTGTAAATTTTCATTAAAATGAATAATAATTTAACAAAAAGAAAAAATAATACCAAGGTGACCAAGTACATGACTTCTAAATGGGGAAACCAGTATTCAGGTATATCTCTAGGAGGTGCTTCTTGAGAGAGGCAAACTAGGGACAACAGGATGGCAGGGCCGACACAGTCTAAAAGGTATTATCCAAATCACAGAGGAATCTGCAGTGCAGTGTAACAAGTTGGACCGTCATTGCAGGAACACTGAGGAGCCAACGGAAAGGTTAGAGTCTGTCACCATCATGCTTCTGTCCAAGCTTGAGAAAAGAGTTAACATGTAAAAACTGATACCAAGGAGAAGGCCTCAGGAGCATTTACAAAGAGAACTGGAGAGGAGGATCCTGGAATCATGGAGAGACAGACAAAGGGCCCCTGGCACAGACATAATGCAAAAGAGGAAACTAGGATGGGGTGGGAGCACACAGAATGGGAAAAAGACACACGACAATTACAAAGGAAAAACTTTCTCAAAGACTGGGGCTTGCTGAAGCACAAACATAGAAAGGTATTTAACTCTCATTCTGCATGAGAGTGATCACAGCTTTGATAAAATGTGAAAGTGGATCTAGAGACAAAAATGAATTAAAAAAAGTGTTAAAATTTAGGCATTCTGAGTTTAAAACCACACTGGAATATTTAAGCAGAGATGTTTGTAAAGGATTTGTACATGCCTTGCTGCAATCTGAGAAGTCCCAGGGAAAAAGTGATTCAAAAGTGAATTACCAAAGCTGCCTAAGATGGGCAAAGAGAAGAAACAGCTGAACACTGAGCTTATTACCTAAGTTTGACGGAAACTCAATAAATGCAATTAAGAACAACCACTGGAAACTGGAGTAGAAAAGAAGCTGAACTTGATTTTGATAAAGTCAAGAAAAATACAGAATTTCCAGGGATTGGGTATTAAACAGTTAAGAACACAAACTGGGAGATGGGGTGGGGGAAACCAACACAACTAGATTTCATTAATGAAGTAAAAAGTCACCTTTAAGAAACCATTTTCAACAACACATTTCCAGAAGTCTGGCATGAAGGAACAAGCTAGTACTGAAGAACAGCCCACAAAAAGTAGAGTTGCAAAAGTGATCTAAGAGCCAAATTAAATTTCTAATCCCAAAGCTACCACCTCCTGTTAAGAGAGGTCACAGAAACCATAACATGCCCATCACAGGTACAATCATCTCTGCAGAAAAGAAGACCTGAAAATTGACTTTTCACCAAGCTCTGTATTTTGAGTGTCACTTTAATGACACAACAGAAAGTCACAGTGGGTATGGAAGCTGTAGTTTTAAGGACAATGTAGCCAAGGCAAACAGAAAATACAGAATCTGTGTACATCCAGCTCTAGAAAAACTAAAAAATGTTTATGGTAAAGGGAAATAAAACAAACCCTAAAACATTATCTGTAAATGCAAGTTAGTTAGAAGGTAAGTTGAAAATTTGAATAAAAACTGTCTTTTTGCTTGATACATTATTATGATGATTGTTTTTATTGCTTGAAATGCTGAGAAGAAAAAAGTACCTTTGGATCAAAGAGTGATTCTAGAAACACTTCACTCAATTGGTTGTGTCGTCTTAGACAAGATATTGATCTCCCAAATCTCATTTTCATTTTCTTTATAGTAAGACAAGTGCATTTCATTTTGCAAAAACCAAAACAAAACAAAAAACAAAAACAAACACCATCCCAACTCATTTTCTATTTTTGAGCATCAAGAGTTCATGATTAGGGGTAATATTCCCAGGAGGTACATGCACAAAATCAAAGAGCCAACATGCAATGTTGAGCATGTGCATATCTGAAGATCAGCACTTGTGTTTTGCCCTTGGAATCTTGTGGGTCAGGGCTAATTACTCCCATTATTATCGTCTCTATATAATATCACATTCTGGAAGCTAGGCTTTATGAGAGAGAATGTGGCATCAGGATTGGAGGAAGATTCACCATTAACCTATGTTATGCTTGCCCAAACTGAGGAAGACCTGAAGCGTTTGCTGCAGAAGGTCAAGGACTAGTTTTCAATATAGATTGAAGCTCACCATCAAGAAGACAAAGATTCTCACCACTGGACCAACTGGCAACACCATAACAGATGGGGAAGAGATTGAGGTTGTTAACAATTTCAGCTTGCTCAGCTCCACAATCAATTTCTTGGGAGCAGCAGTCAGAAAATCAAAAGACAAATTACACTGGGGAAGTCTGCTGTCAGGGTCCTCTCCAAACTGCTAACGAACAATGATGTCAGTGTAGGGACTAAGGTATGCCGGATCCAGGCCATGGTCTTTGCAATTACTTGCTATCCCATCAGAGGACCAAGGAGGACAAAAGAAGAAATGATGGCTTTGAGTTGCAGTGCTCTTGGGCGACCAAGAGAACAAAAAGGTCTGTCTTGGAGAGGGTTAAATCAAGTTTCTCCTTGGAGGCAAGGATTTTGAAGCTCCATCTTCCAAACTCTGGGCATGTGGTCAGGAGAGACCAGTCCACAGAGAAGGACTTGTTGGAAGCCAGACGGAGGAACAGGGCAGGAGAGGAAGACCCCAGATGAGATGGATTGGCACAGTAACTGGGCTAATGAGAGTAAGTGGTTTATCTTCAGAGAGGAGGAACAAGTGATGAAGAAAGATAGGGAGACAGGATGAGAAGCTCTGACAAAAATTCCAAGTAGGTTGGATACAACAGAGAAAAAAAAAAGAGTATAAAGAGTATCCATTATAAAGAGTAAATAACTGACAATTTTAAATAATATCCCATGCCAAACTACAGGAAGTGGCATAAATTTCTTTTCAGTCCTTATCTTCACTCTATCATCTTAAAAACTTCTGCAGCCTTGAGATAGTCTAGATGCACATTATTTTAGGGAACATTTTCTGTTGTTGTTGTTGTTTTTTTAAATTTTATTATTTTTTGTGTGTGTACCGTCAAATCAGATCTGACTGGTACAGGAGGAGATTGTCCCTCCTTCCCCGGCAGAGCATCTGGTGGATTCGAACCGTGCACCTCTGGGATTGTAGTTGCAGCTCCTTACCACTAGGCCACCAGAGCTCCCCCAGGGAACATTTTCTGATGCATTAATGCTAATGTTTAGCATACAGAGGAGCTTTGGTGACACAGTGGTTAAGAGCAAAGTTGCTAGCTAAAAGGTCTGCAGTTCAAACCTCACTAGCCATTCGATGGGAGTAAGAGGTGGCAGTTTGCTTCTGAAATGGTTTAGTCTTGGAAACCGCATAAGGCAATTCTCCTCTGTCCTATAGAATCACCATGAGTCAGAATCATCCCAAAGGCAATGGGTTGGGTTTGTTTTCCCAAGATAGGACTTTCATTAGTCTAATAATAATGGGAGAGGCAAGTGGGGCGTGGTGAGCACTTAGTCTCTGATTCAGCTGACATGTATATGCTAATGTTCTGTACACTACACTGTACACAAAGCAGTTGACAATAACAAAGGAAACATAAAATCTCCTAAGAGATTGGATTCCTTTGAAGAAGCAATGTGGTATGGGGGAGAAAGAGTATAGAATTTAGAACCAGAGGGCCAGTTAATCTTGAAAAGTCACTTCGTCTCTTAGTCTCAATGCCTTCTGCAAATCTGTGTTAATAAACTATTTCACAAGGTTGCAGAGTATACCAACCAGGTAATGTGAAAGTGTCAGTCAGCAGGTAGTACCTATTATTGACTCACTGTTCTAATATTTCTATGGAAGATCCTTACTTCACTCTCCCTATTCTGTGACCTTCTTAAGTAAGGGATGAGGAAGAGGAAAAAAAGAAACTTCTACAAAAGGTATTATCTCTAAAACTGTATTCAAATTCCAACTTGAAGAGTTTCTTCAGTGACAAGAGTTTCTTCAGTGACAATGTCATTATGATGGTTCAACTCTTCCCTCCTTCATTTTGGTTCTGACTAAGGAAGATGCAATAAATTGCCTTCCACATGAAGCCAGCAAATGGGAGCTGTGTTCCTATCTGTCCCATATCCCTCATTTGATAAACATTCCTAAAGCTCCAAAAAGCAGCATGACCTTAGCAGCTTAGTGATGGTCCAGAGCTAGGCGGAGGTAAACAAAGGCATGAACAGGAAAAGAGAAAGGCTACAAAGGGCCTGCAAAACACACCACAATAAAAATGGCAACTCATTCACGTGATTAATGTAGTCATAAGGAGAGAGGGAAGGGGGTGGGAACTGTCCCAAATAAAATATGACACAGGAGATTTTCTTATACCAAAAAAGAACATTTCTCCAAATTATACCAGGAAGCAGAACTTGGTTATAACTTCATGCACTGGCAGAATCTCCAATTCTAGAAAGGTTTTCAAATAAGACAGGAAGCTAATAAGGAGGCTTTATTCACAACTTCAGTCTCCCATCTTCAATTAAAAGTTAACACACATAAATGTCTTGGTACAGCATATCTAAGTTTCTAACCTAGCTCCTGACCAAAAAAAAGAAAAAAATCCAATTTTCCTAGGAACACTTTTTCTAAGAAATAAAATGTCATTATAATCAACTATTCATAACTTTGTGCTACGCATCAGAGAGCTGGATAATGACTAGGAATGATAGAAAGAGAACTGATGCCTTTGAGCTGTGGTGCTGGAGAAGAGTGTTGAATATACCATGGACTGCTAGGAGAACAAATAGGTTCATTCTGGAGAGAGTGAAACTAGGCTTCTCCTTGGAGGCAAGGATTCTGAAGCTCTTCTGTCTGACATACTTTGGGCATGTTGCAAGGAGGGACCAGTCCTTGGAGAGGGATGTCATGTTTTGGAGGGTGGAGGGACAGCCAAGAGAGGCAGACACTCGATGAGATGGATTGACTCAGTGACTTGGGGTAATGGGAGTAGGTGTGTTGGAGACAGTGAGGTTGGCACAGGACAGAGCAGCGTTTAGGACTCTTGTACATAGGATCGCTATGAGTCGACGGCACAACAATCAACTAAACTGTCTCTGTTCTACAATTCTCAGTAAATCAACAATTTTAACTCATACGGAATATGACTCTATGTCAATCTGTTAATTATCTCTGAATATTTCCATTTCCTTTTTTAAAACATGAACATATATTCTTTTTTAAAAAAGAACAAATGTATTTGAAACCATAAACATATAATTCTACTGCACTGCAATCCCAGAGGCATGTAGTTCAAATCCACCAGATACTCTGCTAGAGAAGGAGGGGCAATCTCCTCCTGTACCAGTCAAATCTGATTTGACCATACACACACACACACACACACACACACACACACACACACACACACACACTAAAAGAAAAAAAAATATCCTAGCTGGGGAAATTCTTGAGTTTTAATCATTAAAATACTTACTGACAGAGTAAGTTGGATTTCCTTATGGTTGTAGTTTTTGGAAATCCTTTTCTTCAACGCTTTTACTGCATCTTTAGGCCTATAACAATAAATACAGTGAAACTACCAGTTTAGGCATTTGCTGAAAAGAAGCAGTTCCTAAAAATCAATACACACACTGGGGAAAGAAGCGGTAAAGATCAGGCAATCAAAGCTTCTGTCTTGGATTTGCTGTGCAGCCCTGGGATAACCACTTAACGTCTTATGTGTAAGTTTTCTCATGCATCTAGGCAAATCACACCATCTTCCCCCTTGTAAGATCCAAAAAAATAATTACATGAAAGGGCACATAACCACATAACCTGGAAATTACTACACATGAATGTGCCACACTCAATTTACTTTTTTTTAATCTACCAAAGTGGACTAAGACCCCACATTTTTTTGGTGACATTTCATGCTTCATACATTCCTTGCATCAACAAATTGACTTCTACCGTTCATGCTAAGAATCAAAGATTTGTATAAAGTATTAGTAGACTAAGAGTTTTTGATTCAAACTATCAGATGTCTCCTATTTTTAGAGTTTATTTTTCCTTACATATTATCTAGTCACAAAGTGACTACTGGATAATTTTTAATTTGTAGAAAAGTAGGTCATTTTCTCACTTTACTGTTTTAATACATAGAACCAATAAACAGGAAATAGTGTTTCAAAAACAATGAAGCTTGCTCATTTTTCATTTAAACTCTTGAGTGTTTCTTAACCCATACAGGTCCGGGATGTAGGAGGAATTATAGCCAGTTCACTGTCTGGTGCTACAATTTTATGCTACAAAGCAGTAACTATTTTCATTACAAGACTAAAATTTATTTCACCTATGAAATAGATTTTCTGCTTGTAGTATCAATTAAGATTCACACAAGCACTATGGTAAACAAGATCACAGTAAAAGCATTATAAATGTTTGAAAGGGACAACAGCCATTAGCCCTTTTCATTGATACATAAACAATAATTTAGTGCAACATTTTCATCATAATAAAGTGTAGTAAATCTCTTCCTGCCAGCAGGTCTCACTTGAATATGCCTAAGAAAAATACAAGCAGTGTTGACTATACACCAAAATTCATGGCTATCAAGTCAATTCTGACTCACAGTAACCATGTAAGACAGAGAAGAACTGCCCCATCAAGTTTCCAAGGTTGTAATCGTTAAAGAAGTCAATTTGCACATCTTCCTCCTAAGAAGAGATGGCGGGTTCAAACCACCAAACTCTGTCACCAGCCACATACTTAACAAGCACACCATCAGGGCTCCCGTATCCTTTGTAGTAACCTATAATTCTGACTGTAAATTCAGACAGGTTGTCCCTTGTGATTTTTTTTTAAAGATAATTTTACATCTCTAAAGTTCAGAAGTATAAAAAAAAATAAAAAGAACAGTTTCAAAGCATATAGCACGAGGAGGGTTAAGTCAGCATTCTGAAGGAAAAGAAAAACTGTCTTGTTACAGGCAGAGAAAAAAAAGAGATTGTTAGATTATGGCCTGGTTAATAATGACTGGCAGAGACAAGTTATCAACAGCAAATCAACAGGTCTTCTATTTTTCTATATTTTGCAGTTATGTTAATATGCAAATCAGAGCAAAATGAACTCCTAAGGCGGGGGTAGGGGGGTAGGGGGGGAGTGATCGCCTTCTCTGAGGCAGCTGTAGCCACACCGAAAAGCAGAATCTCTGGTAGGGGGAGGGGGCAAGGAGAAAATGAAATTGTTCATTATAAATTAGAAAGCATATGTATACATATTTGTTGTTGTTGTTGTTATGTGCCATTGAGTTGTTTGCGACTCGTAGTGACCCTATGTACAAGAGCCCTAAACGCTGTTCTATCCCATGCCAACCTCGCCGTCTCAAACACATTCATTCCCACCACTCCACTCACAGAATCGATCCATCTCATTGAGGGTCTTCCTCTCCTTCGCCACCCCTCCACTCTCCCAAACATGATGTCCCTCTCCAAGGACCAGTCCTTCCTTGCAACAATGCCAAAAGTATGTCAGACAAAGCTTCAGAATCCTTGACTCCAGAGAACATTGTGGCTTCACCATCTCCAGGACAAACCTGTTTGCTCTAGCAGTCCATGGTATATTCAACACTCTTCTCCAGCACCACAGCTCAAAGGCATCAATTCTCTATCATCCCTATTCACTGTCCAACACTCTGATGCACAGCACGTAACTGCAAAGACTATAGCCTGAATCAGGCACACCTTAGTCTCCAGCTTGACATCGTTGCTCTTCAGTACTCTTGAGAGAGGTCCCTCACAGCTGACTTTCCCAATGCAATTTGTCTCCTGATTTCCTGGCTGCTGTTACCAAGAGTGTTGACTGTGGAACCAAGTAAACTAAAACTGTTAACTATCTCAATCTCTTCACCATCCATACTGATGCTGCCAATTGGCTCAGTGGTGAGAATCTTTGTTTTCTTGATATTGAGTTTCAATCCACATTGAAGACCTTCTGCAGCAAGTGCTTCAGGTCCTCCTCAGTTTCAGCAAGCAGGGTTGTGTCATCTGCATAACACAGGTTGTTGACGACTCTGCCACCAATCCTGATGCCACATTCCTCCTTGTACAGCCCAACTTCTTGGATGATCTGTTCTGCATATAGATTGAAAAGGTATGGAGACAAAATACATCCCTGATGGACCCCTTTCTTGATTTTGAACCATCTAGTGTCTCCCTGCTCTGTTCTGACGACTGCCTCTTGGTCCAAGTATAAGTTCCGCATTAGCACCATCAAATGTTCTGGGATTCCCATTCTTCTCAGAGTTAGCCATAGCTTGTTGTGATCCACACAGTCAAAAGCCTTTGCATAGTCAATGAAGTACAGATAGACATTCTCCTGGTATTCTCTGCTTTCTGCCAAGATAAAGATATATATCTACATCCCTATGAACCTGGAGAGAGGTAGAGGACTCTCCTTCATAGAGTTGCTATGAGTGGCCTGCCTGCCACTTGAGGGCACTTAACAACAATAACATATCTCTATCTCCATCTCTCTCTGTCTCTGTCTATAGCTATATCTGTATCTACATCTACATCTATATATCTAAGGTTACCTTGTATATTGGGTAATCTGACAGTGCACTTGGGAATGATGAAAAACACTCAACAAGAAAATGACAGAGTTTTGCAAGAGAAGAGCCTCTGTGGTTTTGATGTTTCTTATCAGAGGCCTGTGGAAGAACAACAGGCTGTACTCACCCATCCTGGGTCGTGTTGATTATGTCGCATATGTGCATAAACTGGCCCCACTCTTCAGTCTGAACTCCAGCAAATGTAGCCTTCTCTGCAATGAAAAGGCGGTTTTACTGAAACTGATTAAATGTACAACAGAATAAAAAAAATGGCTAGTCTTCTTGAAATAATCCACAGGAGTTAATTAGCAAAACCCATTGAGTTTATTGTAATTGAAGGCAATGGGAAGGATTGTTTCTCTCTCCTGAAAAATTCACACTACCTTCAGGAATCTATCAGAATTCAAGTTCAGTGTGGTGTTGCTACTGCAATAGTAATGAGTGACCTATTAGGAAAGACTGGGCTCAACAAATGCCTCAGGGCCAGGAAATGCTGGCTGAATCACCATCTGCAAGCTCTTTCAGAGAAAGAAAACTCTGGCTTCTGGAACACCTTTCTACAAGGTGAACTGTATGATGTTAAATATTTTAACTGTGAACTGCATGCTGAGTGCTAAGTATTTTTTCTTAAGCAATAATAGAAATGAGACTCACTGTACAAAAAAACCCAAAAGTCAAAGTCATTGCTTTGGAGTTGGGATCAACTCACAGATGAGACTCACTCTGAGTGTGTTCAGAGGCTGTAAATCACAAGGGAGAAAAAGGCTGGAGCCACTGGTGGATTTGAACCACCAAAGCGGCAGTGTGACTCCTTACGCCTCCGCCACATGTAACCAACCCACTGTTAGAGATGATGAAAGAGTTCAAAGAGGTTAAGGAACCTACGGAATGAATATACAAGATAGGCTAGTACAAGGAAGAACAAAGACTCAGAGCCACCTCTGTGTGCTTTGCTTTTCTTTTGAAAAGCATTTAATCTGGGGAGAGAGGTGAGAGTGAAGAGAATGAAACATCAAAACTACTGTATCCTTCTGCAAGCACTCTTCACATCAACACTTATGAAAGCTGTCCTGTATGTACCTGGAGCCTTATCATGGGAAAAAAAAAATCCCCCCAAACCGGCTGTCTTTCTCCAGACATCTCCTTCAAAGACACAAATACTCTCTGGGAAGAGTAATAAAACACTCGACCCGTTTACTGATCTTTCCTATGAGAGGAGAAGATTCTCTCATTATGAAAACAGAAGATTCTGAGGGGTTAGAGATTCAGGAGAGAAAAGAAGGAAAAGAGATAAAGCAAGGGAAGAAAGAAGAGTGCCTGGCTAGGGGAATTTCAAAGTTTAGCCTGGTTACTACGCAGGGGTGGTGGTGGTGGGAAGCAATCTGAATCTGGCATTGAACAGATAAAGCTCACCAACTTCAAGTTCTGGTTCCTTCTTGCCAGGTGTTCTTTTCCATTCCTAGATATTCCTCTCATTTCCCAGAAAACTATCCATCCTCCAAAAGCAGAGTTCTGATCTGCCTTTTCTGAACTTGTGTGCAATTTTTTTCTCTTTTACTACAAAGGTCCTGCACAACGGACCTCTGATGGCATAGGAGAAGGACAAGTGATTTAAAGCCTCCCCAAACACACGGGAAGTTCAGCTATGTAAGGGTCAGCTCCCACCGATGACAATGAATGAGTCTCCAGAGGCAAAGTTACAGCTGCCACTACAACATTGTCAGTCTTCCCTGGAATCCTGTGCACTCGCTGTGGTTGGAGACCATGTCCTACCTTGCCTGACTAGTGCCTGAGGCAGGTCCAGGCACATAGCTGCAAGTCAATAAGTGTTTAAAATGCTACAGAATCATCCGATGTCTTGCTGAAGTGTGAATTCCGGGGGAGCACAAACGACCATCCATGCGCTCCACGACAGTACCCACAGCAGCCCTCAAAGCAATGGGAAAGGTTATGGGGTGATGTTCTACCCTGCACTCCTGGAGTCTTCAAGAGTTAGATTCAAAGAGAGGGTAGGTATCTAGGTTGTGCTTGCTTTGCTGCTGAAAGAAACTATATTTCAACTTTGGCGTTCTGGCAGCATGGTAGGTAATGTGCTAACGCAAAGGCACAATGTTCAAAGACACCAGCTGCTCCACCAGAGAAAGACGTGCAGTTTTCTCTCCTGCGATTTACTGCCTCTGAAAACCCACTAGCGGCGAGGAGTCAACTATGAGCTGGTTTCGACTCAAAGGCCCTTAACAACAATGAAGATGTAGCATGTTTTTAAGATCTAGTGTCTCTGGCATATTCCAATTTCCCACGTAGGTATGTATAATCACCACCCGTTTAGAATTTTTTTTCTTCCTTACAAAGCCCTGTTCGCGGCCTTTTTATAAAGAGGTGAAAACCATTATTCAGGTTCGTGGTGTGTATTATTCATGCAGGGTGCGTGTCACACCTGGGATAACTGAGCTGAAACCAAAATTATTCAAATCTGTGCTCCCTTATTGTAATGACCAAGCTCTCAAGATTTCATCACCCCACTAAGTTCTCATGTTATGCCCACTTAGCCTGAAATTAACACCACGCCCCATTCCCAAGGGAGGAATCAGGGCGAAGCCAGCGAGAACTGAGCTGTTGTAGGTAAAGCAGCGCAGTCACAGGATTCTGCTTCCACGTAATCTACGCAGGGGGTAGTCACAGGTAAAGTGGGGAAGTAGAAGCCTGGGGATCCCCAGAGGATTCTCTAAACCTTCAGGGACACCCCCCCCACCCGATCTCTCCTCTGCACGCTCCCTTCACTCTACAGCTGAGTATTTCATGCCCTTTGTTTACCCAGAAAAGGAACTCAGGTGGCACGAGCCTGACGTCAAGTACCTGGTTTGGCACGACCGGGCTTCAGAGAAGACACATCCCCTAACCTCCCCCAGACCTTTACTGATCCGCATCTGTAAAACAGACGAGGCCTCCAGACGCACATTGGGAACCACCTTTCCCAGCCGAAGAAGTTACTGTTAACCTCCTCCCAGAGGCCCCAACTCCACGCTTGGATCCCACAGTTCACCTGTTTTGTTTCTCCCCCCAAGGAGTGATCACAAGGAGGGACATGTTGAGAAGCCGGCTCTGAAAGAGTCTTCGAGGCAGAATTCTCCCCAAGGGCTCTAGATGGAATGCGGGTGCCCTGGGAAAGTTGCGAGGCGCAAAGGGAAGAACTGTCCTGAACTTGGACGCCGTGGGACCCTCACAGGGCCGAAGAAAGCGAGAAGGGGCTCCCGGGCCCCCAGCTCGAGCCCCCTTACCTATGAGGTGTCCCACGGAGGTCCCGTAGGGATCCCGGGGATTCTTCCCAAACGCCATGGTGGCCCCAGCGAGCCGGGCCCAGGAAATCCGCCTCCACCGCTCGGCGGCTCCCGACTCCACCCGCTCGGTGCCGATGGCTCCTCCTCTCCGGCCCAACGCTCCGCGGGCTCGCGCCGAGACGGCGGGGGCGGCGGCTGGGCCGGGCGGGAGCTGCGGGGCGCGGGGCCGGGGCGGGAGCTCGGGGTGCTCAGCGCACCTGCGGCGCGCGCTGGGGTCCCTGGCGGCGGTGTCCGCTCTGACACCCCGGGGTTCAGGACTAAGCCATCAGCGACCTGCCTGGGATCCCGCCACTTGTTGGGTAATTGCTGGTGTTCCCCTCCGGCGCCTCGGAAAGGGGGTTAAAGAGCGCTGGTGACGGAGTGGTTCGGAATTGCGTTGCCAACCAAGAGATACAAGGTTCAAATCCACCAACCGCTCTGTGAGCGAAAGATGGACAACTCCCAAGCGATTTACTGCCTCTGAAAACCCGCTGATCGATGATGGATGATCGATCAGCTATGGGTTGGTTCGATTCAATATTAACCAACAAGGGTACCGGGTTAGTAACAGGATTACTGTGAGAATGAAGAGGAGGATTTAAACTGCTATGGTCAGAGCCTGGAACCCACCAAATAAAGATTTGACCGGAGAGAATTGAATAACTGGGAACATTTATTCACCCTCCTCCCCAGAGATCCGGCAGGGGAGGTGTGTTCCCCGCCCTTGAAGGCTGGAGCTGACTGATAGGAGGAGAGGCCCTGGGCGCCTCGCTGGGGACAGGGCCCTTGGTTTCTGTCGTATTTCCTCTTGGGACCCTAGCGCACCACCAGACACACTTGGAGTCTAAAACCACCGCTTGAGAGCCTTGTTTTCCATCTTGATTGGGAGAAGGGAAGAGGGGCTTTTTGGCCCCAACAGGGAGATGTTTGGATTCAGAGCTGCTTTGGAATGTGATTCTGAGTTTGGGAGGTCTGATCCTTTTCATGCTTGCCCTTTCAGATCTGATTATTTTTAATTGTGTTTTCATTTGCACCCGGTTTAGCCTGGGATTGGAATCTCCATGGATACCTAAGCAAGCCAGAAAGGAAGGTGTCTCCAAAGCTAATGTCAATTAGCAAACATATGGGGAGTCTCTTGTGGCTTCAGTTTCTGCTTCCTGTGGTCATCTAGGGCCCTGTCCCACACTTCCAATTTAGGCCCTATAAATGAGGGTGATTGAGAAGAATAGGAACCTAGTGTGGCCGTGTTCTGGTTTTCTTTCTTTTAATGCAGAGATCAAAACTCTGTAATGCATCCCATCCTAGGAAACAGCCTCCAACCCATACTTTCCCCTCTTTGTCTGAACTCTTATTTTAACCTTTTTTTAACCTGTTGTTAGATGACATTTTGAGCCTCAAAATAAGCACTGTGTGGTCTTGTCGTTCCCCCCCCCCCAGTCAATGCAGTGTGGCGACCCATTATTGCAGTCTGTGTCCAGTTCTGGCTCAGTCTCTCTCACTGATCATCCTCATGTGTTTACTGACTTTCCAGCATGATGTCTATCAACTCTGTCAACTGCCCTTCCCGAAAACATGTTCAAGTTACTGAAATACAGTTTTGCCATCTTTGCTTGGAAGGAGCATTCTAGACAGATTTTGTTTATTCTCCTGCCAGTTTGTTGACTACATTAATTTTTTTTCAGTTTCTTGAATATATTCAATATTCTTTGCCAACAACATAATCTAAACTCATTTATTCTTCTTCCTTCTTCTTTCATTGGCCAGCTTCTGAGTGCATCTTGTTTATTGCCATCGAGTCGAGCACAACTTATAGTGACTTTATGAACAAAAGACCTAAAGCCTTTCTATAGCTATTGTCATTACTCCAAGTTCATACGTAGAGTTTCCATAGGCATGTGATTTAGGAAGTGGATGCCACTCCTGCTTCCAAACCTGTTTTACATCTGAGAGCTCCACCAAACACTGCTCACATTGGGAAACCATTATGGTATTTGTCACCCTAATAGCACAAGGTTCAGCATAACAGCAAACCCAGACTACAGCAAATTGATGAAGAGTGATGTACAGAGTAGAAGAATGTTCCTCCAAAATATAACAATACTAGTCACACTTAGCAGTAGTTGAGTGTCATCAAGTCGAATACAACTCATAGCTACCCTATGAACAGTAGACCTGAATTCTGTTCTATACTTAACATCATTTCTTTGTTTATAGAGTTTCCAGAGGCATCTGTTTTAGGGAGTGGATGCCATTCCTGCTTCCAAACCTAAATAAATCTGGAAGCTCCTCCAAACACTGTCCATGATAGACAACCATTATGGGATTTGACACTAGGGCACAGTGTTCAGCATCACAGAAACTCCAAATTATTCAGTACAGCAAATAAACAAATGGTTGTTGTACCACTTTAAAAATGTTCATCTGAGTGCTTATGAGCCAAAAAACCAAAGAGTGCTATTGATTCCATTATGACTCATTGTGCAACAGACAAGAGATAATTAACAAAATTAACATTTCTTGAAGTGTCATTTTCTTCTCTTCAATTAGACTGGAACCTCTTAGCGTGTAAGGACAAATTTATTTTATTTGTGTGTGTGTGTGTGTAAGGACAATTTTGAGGAAGACCTCTTTATCTAATTCAATACCTTTGTTGACAGTTAAAGTTTGCCTTTCCACCCTGCAATCTAAGGCTGAGTGTCACTTCCTTTCTGTTAAAAGATTAATATGATTTTTTTAACCTTGTACAAAGATGACCGTCCAATGAATAAGAAAGCATAACTGTTTTAAGCTTTAACTGAATTACTACTAGATTTACTCTGAATCACAGACTTTGTTATTTCCCCCGTTCTGTTTTCCTCTTGACACGATGTGCTGAATCTAAATCTCTCCCCTGAGTTCAGACCAAGAAAGTCAGCATTTGTCTGCTGGAGCCACTCAGGTGCACACCCTGTATGAGCAGCCAGGTGTTCTCTGTTGATAACCTTTGTGCTGTCAACCCAAAGACAAGTGGTTTCAATTTACCAGCTGCTTTGAGGGAGAAAGATGACCATGAGATTTATAACCTCTGAAAACTCACTGGAGGCTCAGCTATGAGTTGCTTCTGACTCAATAGTGCATTACAACAAAAGGTCTCTCAGGTACCATGGAAGTGGCCCAAGAATGACCTTGAAGGCAGCCATCGTGAAAGGGCATGTTCCATGATGACTGAGTGTCTAACCAGGTAGGTGCAATCTTGAAAACGAAAAATCTACATCACATGTACAGTGATAATTAAACGCCTAATCAGAAAGACTCCATCTTGAAGGCCAGTTGTACACACTCGCTAATTTTTATAATAGCTTCTTTTTTAAAGATCACCCTACCATTCCTTCATAAAAGTGTTGAACAAATATCAACTCTTCCCCTAGCCCTTAACCTAGCTTAATAATATCCCCTTAGAAACTTACCTGTCTGCGACAGATTTAGAAAGCTCATACCCCTTGTTTCAAGATTGGATGTTTTGTTCCCAGTAAAAATTGTGACCCTGTAGGAAGAAGAGCTATCCGTTAAGTTTTGGAGGCAATTCTTTTTTTAATTTTTATTTTATTATTTTTGTGTGAGTGTACCGTCAAATCAGATCTGACTGGTACAGGAGGAGATTGTCCCTCCTTCCCCGGCAGAGCATCTGGTGGATTTGAACCATGAGCCTCTGGGATTGTAGTTGCAGCTCCTTACCACTAAGCCACCAGAGCTCCCCTGGAGGCAATTCTTTAAGGATCAAATTGCCTATCTTTCTTCCTGGGAGCAGCTAATGGGTTTAAACCTTTCAGTTAACAACCCAGCATATAACCTGCTGTACTAGTTGGGTTCTTCTGGTCCACCCAAGATTGTAAAAATACCATGACTTGGATTAGATGCACCTTAGTCCTCAAAGAGACATTTTGGCTTTATAACACCTTTAAAGAGGTCTTCTTCAGCCTGTTTTTCCACTCTACAGCATTGTTGACCATTGATGTCTTGACTACTCCTTCCATGACTGTTAATTGTGGATCCTAATCAAATGAAATCCTTGACAACTTCTAGCTTCTCTCCACTTACCATGATGTCGCTTACTAGTTCAGTTACAAAGATTTTCTATGTTGAGCTATAATCCATATAGAAGTCTTTAGTCTTTGAGTTTTATTTAAAAGTGTTTCAAATCTTTATTTTTAGCAAGGAAGATCATGTCATCTGCATATCATTGGCTGGTTAAGTTTAGTGTTAGATGACATCAAGTTGACTCATGAACAACAGGTCTGAACCTAGCCTATCCTGAGCCTTCGTCCGCATCTGATATATTTGTAGTCTTCCTCAAAACGGACACTGTGTTCTTCTTTATAATGTCTAATTTCTCAGATTATTTTTCAGTTTAAAGGTAGAATAAGTAAAAAGATAGAACCTTCACACACACCTTTCCTAATTTTAAATCACACAGTAACCCCTTGTTCTGTTCAAATTTTTGTCCCCTAAGATATATTATTATCGCGGTTTCACATGAGCACAATCAAGTGTGTTGAATTTCTATTCCGTGTAATGTTAACAGTAATTTGCCATCATTCACACAGTTAAATGTTTTTGCATAGTCACTAAATCACATGTAAGTATCGTTCTCTTCCCCCACCCCCACCCCTGCTTGGTTTTTGTTTTCTGTTGCTATCTTTCTGATATTCTCTGCTTTCAGCCAAGCTCCTGGCAGGAGCAGTGATATCCCTCCTCACACATTTTCCTCTGACTCTGACTTGAGTTTCTGGCAATTCTCCGATACTGTGCTGCTGCAAATAATTTTTAAATGATCCTCAGAAAAATTTTCTTTTGTATGATGTTAATAATGTTGTTCAATTAATTTCAACAACCTGTTAAATCAACTTTCTTTGGAATGGACACTAATAGGGAATTCTTCCTATCAGTTATCTAATTATCTGTATCTAAATTTTTTTACATAGATAAAAAAATGGGTGCTTCTGGCATTATATTCATTTGTTGAAACCTCTCAATTAGTAT